ACCCTGTATCTGACAGGGCTGATAACCAGAATATATGAAGAACTGAAGAAGTTAAATACCAACAAACCAAGTAATCCAAATAAAAAAATGAGATACAGAGCTAAACAGAGCATTCTCAAAAGAGGACTACCTACCGAATGGCAAAGAAACACTTAAAGAAATGCTATTAATGTTTTTACATTAAGATTTTGTTGTGAGATTTGCCGAAGTCTCTTTGAGATTTGAAGTGGTTTGTGCTTGATCTTTGAAATGTATCATTTTTCATTTCCAAAGTTTTTATTTTTCCACCTGTGTTTTGAATGTTCTTTTGCTGTAACATCCTGTCATCCTGTTCTTGTTTCAGGGTAACTTTTATCTTTTTTGTGGCAGGGTCTGTGTAGGCCTGTCTGTCCTGGAATTAACTCATGTGTAGAAGAGGTTGATCTTGAACTCATAGAGCTCTATTTACCTGTCTCTGCCTCCCAAGAGGTTGGACAAAAGGCGTGTACCACTATGCCTGGCCCCTTTTTAATCTTTCTTTCTTTCTTTCTTTCTTTCTTTCTTTCTTTCTTTCTTTCTTCCATCCATCTATACAAAAGATATTTATTTGCCTTGCTTTTAATTTTCTTTTTTGTTGTTATTTCAGTTTTTTCTTTGTCCTCTTTTCTTTTTACTGTCAGAAGTATTGAAAGTATTGAAGAATATTTTCTAATGGGTGTTGATTTTTTGGCTAACCATTCACAAATCAGAGTTAAATGCTGTTAAGAAGTCTTTGGCTGCCGGATGTGGTGGCACATGCCTCTAATCCCAGCACTCTGTGAGACAGAGGCAGGCAGATTGCTGTGAGTTTGAGGCCAGCCTGGTGTACAAAGTAAGTTCAGGACAGCCAAGGTTACACAGAGAAACCCTGTCTTGAGCCCCACCACCACCACCTAAAAAAAAAGTCTTACGCTGGAGATGTTGCTCAGTTTATAAAAGGACTGGAGTTTAGGTTCCCAGAACGTGCATAAAAAGCTGGGGTTTGAGGTACATGCCTGTAATTCCATCACTGGAGGGAAAGGCATGGTGGAGACAGATGGATCATTAAAGCCCATTGGTAAGCAACTTAGCTGAATCTTAGGAATTTCGGGTTTGGTAAGAGACCCTGGCTAATAAAGTAAAGGTGGAGAGCAGTGGAGGAAGGACTTGTCATTGACTGTGGGCACCCCCCCCCCCACATGTCCACACTTGTACTGACAGGTTTGCACAGGTTAATATACACTTCACTCTACCCTCAGCTGCCACCTCTTCTGCCAAAAACATTCCTTGTGTGTGAGCTGTATTTTTGATCGACTTTTCTCTAGAACAATCTTTTAAGTAGCAGCTTTTGTGTTAATCAGTCTAATCATCTGTGGTTCTGGAAACCAAGCAGGATGCCTGGAAGGAGAGTCTGCCTAATTGTTTTCACGGAGCTGTTTCCTGGTCTGTTCTTTCCCCAAATGATGTAACATCTCATGTGTTCCTTCCCTGAGAGAGTTCCAGGTCACTCCCAAGCAGGTGGTCTTGTGCTGAGGCAGGGAGTCACATGTGTGTGCGGAGAGTCTAGGACTTAGGACCTCATGTACCTTTCAAACTGCCTTCCACATGTTGGTTTTAGTTCTTTTTCCCAAGTCAGCTGCTGCTTCTGGTCCATAGACCACAGTGATTTGTTCCATCTTCCTTGGCCTGTGTAGGGGCTCAGCTTTCTCTCCTGTAGTTATTATTTGTCCAGAATTCTCGTTAGTCCCCTTCTGTTTTGATTCTTCTCTATTGTCTTTTGTCTTGAAAAAAAAAAAAAAAAGATTTTGCTGAGGTCTTTAGGAGAGTAACACTAAGCACACATGTATTGCCATTTCATAGTGCAATCCCAGAGCTCCGCACTGCCTTTCCACCAGGGGGCCTGGCCTGTTGACTGCTCAGAGAATACTTGAAAACTCCTGGCACACAAAGGACAGGGATTGGGAATGGAGAAGTCACAGAGGACTCAGAAGAGAATTATGTGTTTGATACTGTTCAGCACATAGACCCCTTTCACATGGACGTCTATAACTTTTTACTAGGCCTTTGTAAATAATTTTATTACTTTTATAATTTTATTCTGTTCATATATATGTAACTCTATAAACTAAGTACTTCTAAATACTTGCTTTTCATAGGTAGGATATTTAGCCTTAGATAAAAAATGGCTACTTAAGTGTTTTAAAATTTCTTTTAAATTTAAACATGATTTTAAAAAATTGCGTATTCATTTTCTGTTTTCTTTATTGTGGCCAGTGTAAAGAATTTCTGCTGATTTTAGATGAATTATTAGTTCAGAATTAG